TCATTCTCCTCTGTATAGAATGTGTAGTGACTATAATTGTATTCGAAATGTTTTGGATATTTTCGGTGGTTCTTTATCTTCAGCCAAACGGTGTATACGTAAAATTTATTCGAAAAAGTAAGTTATCAAATATTTATTTCTTATTATTTGTATTTTTTATTTAGTTTATAAACAGAAAGTGTGCCATCCGAGCCCAAATTAGTTCGTAAGAAGATTTACGTGAAAATTATATGCATGTCCTGCTTACGTCTAGTAGATTCCATCGTATTTGAATTATTTTTAAGCATGTCTAGTTAAGACTGATAAATCTGTAACCAGTTTTGTAAGCGAAATAATAAAAAAAGAATAGATAAAAGTAATGTGTGAATGAAGGAAATGTGAAGTGAAATCAGCCTGCATATTTGTATATACAAAGCATTTCAGTTACTTTGTGCTTTAAGGTACGACTTTGAGAAAGTGAGGCGACGATATTGTAGTTAGTAATTATTGTTAATACGTCGAATACTTTCTAGAATAGTGGAATATCTCAAAAATGTCTCATTCATAAGGAAGATTATTAAAAAAAGTTGAGATGTATCTGACGAAGAGCCGAAGAACCGTATAATTAAAAAATAGAATGCGCCAGACGTATTGTCAGGTCTCAAACTTGGGATAACCCTGTACTCTGAGTAACATAGCAACATACTCTGCACTTCCCAGAACACCTAGACCAGTACCTATTTAGAAAAGTTCATTTTCTACCGGGAATCGAACCCGGGACCTCCTCGTCCAGCGCCCACAGTGCAAACCGTTGGGCCACCGAGGACGTCATATCAAACGTGATCATTTCACGTGATAAATTTCATCTGTGTAATAAATAAAAAAATACGCATATTGGTTTGGGTTACTATTTCTGAAAACAGTGATTTGTTATTAACACCACCGTTACAGTATCTAACTAAATATAATATATTGGTGGTATGGAATGGTACTGTGATTTGTAATCCTTTGGTATTGGTTATTCGTAAGCTTTCTCGTCATTTCGCTGTTTTTTATTAAATAACACAGTAGTATTTAACGAGTATTATATATACTCTTTTTATCATATAGTATATATATATAGCAATAACGCAGAGCCATCTTCTTTTCTAGATGGGTGCTTATTCACTATAGACTTTGATCATAAATGCTCTGTTTGTCGCTGTGTGCTTAATTCGTAATCGTAAGTGTATTTCTGCGATACTGCGTTATTATACCAACATTGTTCTGTAGAAAGGGCGAAAGAGCCATATAAAAAAATATCAGGGGAACGTGTTTTAGTTTTTAACGACTGTTTTACGTCCTGTTTTAAATTCAATTTTAAAACTTAAAATTAATCAAAACCAAAATTAAGTTTTAAATGTTTTGATTTATTTTAAAACAGTCGTAAAAAAATAAAACATATTCTTTGCTTACGCTTGCGCCCTTTCTACAAAACACTGATGATAAAGGCAGCACTGATGATAGAGGCAGACAGGAAGCGGCGTCAACAGCAGTGCGTCTAAACAGAGCCGGGCTCTGGAAGCACATGAGGACCCCACATACAGAAATCCTTTACAAGACTGTCAATGAGAAACCGCTACTGGAGGCGGATAGGATCCCAAAACAGTACATCTTTGACGAGAAATACAAGATACAATTATTTGAAGATCCCAACGAAGGACTAAACTTCAGAGAGGTCCGAGTCTTCACAGATGGATCTAAAACAAACTCAGGAACAGGTACTGGGGTATTCTCAGAAAACCTCAATATCAGGATATCAGCACCGCTTGGTGACCACAACACAGCATTCCAGGCTGAATGCGTGGACATCAAGTTGGCGGCAGAAGCAATCATAGCGAGAAGAGTAAAGAACTACTCCATTCGAACACTCTCCGACAGTATGTCAGTACTTCAAGCACTGAATAGCTATGACATAAACTCAGGGCTCATTTACGAATGCCATCAAGCACTCATGGAGGTATGTATACAAAACCACGTAACTCTTCAGTGGATTAAAGGACACAGCGGCTCACGTGGCAATGATGCAGCAGATGAACTAGCCAGGAAAGGGTCGGAGACGGACGCTATAGGACCTGAACCGATAGTGTTCCTCCCCTGCCAATGGTCCAGAACAATACACAAAGGTACAAAATCTTCACATAATAATACATGGACCACCCTTACGGTTTGTAGACAGGCGAGAGAAGCACTCCCAACGCTCAATGCCAGTCTATCTCGAATACTAATTAAACTTAAAAGGCAAGAGCTTCGCACTCTAACTGCCGCCCTAACGGGTCATGGTCCATACAATAAACACCTTTTTAATTTAGGTATCACAGACAGCCCTCTATGCAGAGCGTGCATGGAGGGGGAGGAAACGGCTGCACACATCCTACTTCAGTGCTCCGGCGTGGCCAACTACAGGGCAAAATATCTTGGAGTGCCAAGGTCGCTCCCCGAAGTCTTCAGCAAACCAAGGCGGCTGCTGAGATTCCTGGAGGAGCTTGGGTGGCACGAGTAGGAACCTGCACCCACCACACGCAAAATAGGCGCTTTGTCGTCGAGTTGCGGATACCAGCCCGTTGCACCAAGTACCAAGTACCAAAAGGCAGCGATTTGTTTTGCTTTGTCGTCTTTGAATGTTGTGTTTGTTTAGGTGCTTCAAAATAATATTTAAACCTATTAAAACTTAGGATATTCACTAATTGAATAGGCATTACTAATTACAGGTTTCTGACCATCTGGCTGTATGTCTATCTGTGACATTGGAGCTCATCAACGGCTGGCCTTATCTTAGAGGTGCTTCTTTTTTTGAAGGCTTATTTAATCGAGATGGTCCTTACCTATGTTTGATGAACTTCTATGGATTTCCGGTTAGAGTAGGGATGTCAATCGTAAAATAAATATTTATTTTACCTCCATTTGTCCAATAGTCTTGAAATTCCGTATGTTATGGAAATCCTATGACGTTACCTTGATCTGATGCCGCAATCAATACTAGAGGTAGACTACCCAATTCCTGAACGACTCACAGCAGAATTATCGTGTTTGGGCTCATTGAATTGGGAGTACCCTGTTTTGTAAGTCAAATTAACTTAAAGATTTCTTTGGAAACAACTTAAAAAATTGTGATAAATTCATTGACTTACAATTATATGGACGTCGGGTCCGCGCTAAAAAGTGTCCGCACTTGTAAGGCGCTAAAATCGTATACAGAGCGCGACACTCCGCTTTAGTCTTCATTTGTTCTACGGACAGCGCGATACTGCGATGACATAACAATTTAAATTTCGAATAGGTTGACTTGGGACATTTTTTTCGTGGTTTTTGTATTAGACCCGTCGTCCATTTATTTGTAAGTCAATGGATAAATTTGATTGTTTATAAATGTATTCACCCATCTCATTTCAGTAACATCTTTTTTTTGTTAATTTTAGATTATTGATACGGATTACTTCAATGTTATGTAATGCTTCTTCTGTTACGAAATTGTACATACGTATTGTGTGGATACAGTTCGCATTATAATGTATGTTAGTGGTATAAAATGCGAATAGAAACATTGTTGTGTATTATGTTTGTTGGTAGGTCAATGGTATTATGTTTTCAAATTTGAAATAAAGAGTGTTTTTAATATTTGAATTTAATTAGCACAGAAGTTATGTTCCGACTATTTCCGATAAGGAACACAGTCAGACACCGAGAAACAAGAATATAATGAGGTTCCGTCCATTTTATATTATTATTCCAATTTTGAATTTAAAAAAAATTGTTCTCAGTATATAAGTAAGAATACCAAGTGTACCTATTTGATTTTTTCTTTCTATTACCTATGTAGTCACACAAGAAAGCAAAGGCTGTCGTAACTAAAAATTGTGGAATTGAGAAAACACGATTTGAAAATGAAAAAAGCTCAGTGAAATCAATATATTCATATATTCTCGTTTATAAATTGATAACTAAGTATTGTGTACAAATAAAAATCTTCACATTATTCACAATGAGATACATTCAATATTTTTTTACTAATTTTAAAATTGTGTTTTCACAATTTGAGTTTTTTTTTTTTTAGTTTATTCATAATAAAAAGAAAAATATTAACATTATTCTTTTCACTAGTTACGGTGTTCGGTTTCATGTGCGATGTGTGTGATGGAGTCTTATTTATTTTGATGCACTAGCATTTGCAGTAGGTACTATTGTGTTTACTAAGTAACTACCGTAGATATACTGTGTGACAATATAATAATTTAGAATACTGAAAAATAATAATTTAGACAAGTGCTTTGAACTAGAATCGTAGTCTTAGAAGAACTTGTTTATTTATAACATGCTTCGTCTATTTTTAATTATTTAGTATGCTAGAAATTCAATTGCATATTTTTATATATATAGGACGCTTAAAAAGGAGTGAGGACTGTAGGTCTACCTATAAATGTTAGTGTTTAGTTTTTTTATAGATATAATTTTCTATAGATATAAGTAAAGTTTTATGCGTTTTGTACACCAGTATAGACTTTGTGACTGCGTGAGTGATTTCCGTGGTTTCGAGAACTTGTTGATTTACCTCGCGTTTTACTTTTCCGTTAGACGGATATCAATATACCTATTACCATTGAAATTAAACCATTATTAAATTAAATTTTTCTATAGAAATGATACTGTCGTGATATGCTAAAGTGTACATAAATAAATAAATAAATTGTTGACCCTTTTTTATCACCTTGTATATTTAATGTTTATTTAATTCATGTACACTGATTTATAGCTTGTAGCCAGCCGACCATTAAATTAAGTTCAGGTAAATACAAGTGTAATAAATCAGACAAGCTAATAATTTTCAAAACATTTTTATTACGTATTAATTAATGTTTGGCAAAAGGAAGATAACATGCTTCGTTTCTTATAATTAAGGATCAATACTCACTGTACAGCATACATCAGCACCACTATTGAGTCGCTATGCGCGTCGTTTTAACGGGAAGTCATCTTACCATGATGCTAGCAAATAAAGCTTCTTCTACCAATTTGCCACTGTTAAATAATTAAAAAGTACTTTTTGTGTTTCAATAATCGTTGATGAATCGGTAATAAAACCGATAATGTTTCTTAGTAATAGGTGCAGTGCTGATACGTACTAGCTGAATAGTTGGGTGTGACCCTAAATACAACCTTAAGTTTTAATACTTTTTGGTTCTTATACATTTAATATATTCACAGTAATCTCACAAACTTATTAAATTTACATTATTTAATTAATTAGAATACATTGAAGAGATAATTATTGAAATAATTTTGAAGTATATTAGCACCAAAATAGCAAGATATGATTTTGTCATTGATGTAATAAATTGACAGGTCACTTTCAAAAACTGAGTTACGTCCTCCAGAGTATTTTACCGAGTTGGTGTAGGTTTAATTTGTCCGTCACATTATTAAATCAATGTTATCTAACCATTAGGCATATAACATTAGTTTTGTACATACATTACACATCTAACATTATTTATTTACATATTTATTGCACAATTATTACTATGGAATGTTGATTTTACAAATACTACCTACTATATAATTGAAACGTACAGTAAAGTTATATACACATAGCCAAACGGAGAAACGGCTCAGCCGCTAAATATGTACAGATATTAAACATTGAAATTATTACATACCACTCACGATTCTACGAGAATTGAAGGTACTGACTTGTACATTTTAAACACTAAATTTAATCTATTTGGTAATTCTAAATGACATCACAAATGCACTGAAGATTCATTGATGCAAGCACTTTAATAAGGTCACGTTGGACTGACGTGGAGACTTCTGCCGTTCTGTCTTCGAGTAACATGGGCCTCGTAGTGAATGTTACGCTTAGTCCTTGAAAAGAACGCAGCATTGCAACCGCTCATGGAACAGCGATGTAATGATTGTACGTGGACTGTTTCACAGTGATGCTTTAGACTGGCCAGATCTTTGAAACTCTCCCTGCAAGCCCGACATGGATATGTGCCATCTTTATTCGGTCGCGGCGCTTCGTCTTCTATGCAGTAACTCAGTTTTCTAGGTAGCGGAGGAGAAAAGTTTGTATTTTGACAGCCAAAAGCGTTCAACCCCGGCGGAAGAAAACCCAAAGGAATGGGAGGGAAGTTGGGTAACATACCAAAAGGCGTAAAAAGAAATGGGTGCTGAGCGAACATATCACGATTATTTAGATATGCTTCAGGTAACTGTAGAGGTGCGTAAGGAGTTCCAAAAGGAATCTGACTAATGTGACTTTTTAGTTTATCACTTTCTTTTGCACGATAGTATTTATGTGACTCTATGTATGGTATTGCTCGTTCGTCGTCGCTAAATCTTGCCATCAAATCTGTTTGCTCACGTGCCTTCTCTATAATTCTTGTTGGTGATTCATCTCGTACTCGCAAATCTTCTAATATTTTTCTGTGCAAGTTTGTATTTGCGCTGTGCCGGTCTCTACTTCTCTTTGAGGGAAATGCGGCCCTGCAACCTTCAGTAGTACATCTGTACATGAGTTTCAAATGTGCGTTTTGGTAATGTGTTTTTAAGACGTAAATATTTTGGAACAACTTTCCGCAAACTGTACATTTGCCCGGGTTTTCGTGGTCTACTGGAACATCTGTGGTACTTATGAAGAATCCATTTTCGAAGTGACCAAAAATCTGTCCATGGGCTTCTTCTGTGTTGTAATCGTAACTGGATACTGATGAAGAAGGTGATCTATCTGCATATTCCATCGTTTCGTTCACTGATAAGTTAAAGGGCAAGGAACTGTATGCATCTGCTCTTTTTAACATGTTTGGGAAGTCACCTTTTGAAAGACTCTCTAATCGTTTCAGAGCATTTTCAGAAGAAAATTCATCGTTAGACGGAATGTTATCAGACGCTTTGCAGTCTATTTTTTCTATAGCTTCCTCTTTTACACGTAAATCTTGTGCATTGTTATAGTTTGATTCACTAGGTTCGTCTTTGAGTGATGAATACTCTTGTTTAATTTTTAATTGCTCTTCTGTCTCTTTTGATTCAGTATGTCTTTTGTGATGAGCATCAGGTTCTTCAGTTTTCACTCTTTTTAAATCTAGAGCTTCTTCCTCGTTATGCTCCTTGTCGTTCATAATTTGATCGGCTTTGTGTGTATCCATTGCGATATTATTGTGTATACGAGTCGGGTTTAAATTCTTGCGTTTTCTTTTTATACTTTCTGAGTTAGCAGTTTCATCTTTCCTACTATCTCCATTATCGTTGTCGCTGACACTTCTTTGATCGTATTCGTTTTCAGAATCTACTGAGCCAATTGACTTATTGAGGTTGGAGTAATAATCACTAGTTTCCATGTGATCACCTTCGTCGTCATCGTCATCTCCTGCGACCACGACGATACCATCATCTTCATCAGAATCCCCCTGGCCATCTTGATCTTTTTCAACCGAGTCAGATTCACGTCGCATATGCGTTTGATCAATTGTAGGTGAGAAGTTCATACTATTTTTATAGTCTAGATGAACGTTATGTGGAAACTGGCTCAAATTATGCGGCGCGTTCATTAGAGGATACGGGCCAAATGGATGCATAGAACTCATAACAGGCGGCATACCTAGACCAGCCCCGTGTGGTGATATGAGAACTGGATGAATCTGAGAACTCCTACCATCATGTGGAGAAATTTTTCTCCTTAAGTGAGGTGAGTGCAGTTTTGGATTTGGATTTGCACTATGCCTGTTTCTTGACCTTCTGGAACTAAACATCATACTACATCCTTCAACTGTGCACTTATGCATTTCTCTAAGATGTACAGCCGAAAAATGAATCTTTAGAGCTCCTTTGTCGCAAAATGTCTTTAAACAAACGTTACACTGAACTCTCTTCTTTCCAGTAACTGGATTGATGAAATGTGTGCCTAAATTCAAGGGCAATTGAGATGCGCCCCATTGCCTCTTTGGTGGGCTAATGCATTTGCCTAGCATCATGTTTCTAGTACTTTGTGCTACGTCGACATAAGCATCTTTACTCAAATTAAGGATGTTTTCCTCGTCAGTGCGTCGTTCGTCTGATTTTGGTTTTTCATTTAAATTGTTAGGTTTGCTTTCATTATTTTCCACTGGTTTGGCGGACATTTGAGGAAGGAGAGCTTGTAGCGAGGCGAGTCCCATTGGATTTTGACTGAGAGCAGCAACCATAGCTGCAGAGTGGCTAAATGTTGGTGGAATTTGTAAGTTAGGTGGTAACGGAAAGTTCAGAAATTGACTTCTCATCAAATCTATCGCCTTTTCTGCTGAGCTGATATCGTAGTTTGGTTTCCTTGTCTCTTCTTTTTCGTTATATTCACTGATTTTATGTTTACGAAAATCGAAAGGTTGCATGTTTTGGAGATGACTTAAAGGAGATGAGTTGACTGGACTAGTAGTAGAAAGAGGACTGGACGAGGTTGATAAGCGGACACTGTGGTTAGGCGAGCCTTCAGCAGAAGATGCTCTGTGAAGCGGCGAATGACTGTGTATAGGTGATGACCGGTTAGCAGCGGGTGATGTCGATTCCTTTTTCACTTCTAAATTATCGTTATTCCTGGAATCCTTTCTCATTTCTTTGTCTTGAATGCTCTTTATGTAATCAAAGTGCTGTTTCGCTTCCATCATGTGTTGAAAATATTTTAAAGAGTCTTCATTTTTGGCGTCTTTGCCAGAATGTTCCATGAGCCTACGGAACTCAGCTTCCAACTTCAACTGGTCAAGAGCTCTAGGATCATAATCCCTCTTATCTCTGACTTGTTCGTAGCTGTGACTTGCTCCAGGAGAAGGTAGGCCATTCTTCTTGTAAATTGGTAATAGAGAAGTTTTGTGGAGGGCTCTGGCTTCTTGTAGTTTGAGGATCTGCTGTAGAGCCATGTTGTGCTCCGGACCTCTTCCACCCCATCTTTCAGAGTTGCTTGATTGAGATTCCTGTAACAACAGAAATTTTCTTATGAATTGGTTTCTTTTTTATTATAAGAGTATTAAACGCTTAAAGTGGAGGCAATTTTAAACTATGTTGTAACAAACAAACATAATGATATTGTAACGATGAAGTTCGAACAGGACATTAGTGTATCAATTATCATAAACAAGGTTATAAACTAAGGATTTCATTCAATCAAATTACCATGAATGAATATAGCTAATCGTAAAAGATTATCCAGTCTAGAGCAAACCCTAAACACTGGTTTGGAATGGCTCTTCAAAATAACTATCGGGCCGACACAAAACCACACCTTGCGTTTTCAAAGGCTAATATCAAATTAATTCCAAGAACCGAGAGCAATTGGGTAAAATTGTGTAAAATGACGGTTTCGAGTCGACTCGAGAATAGAAAAGTGGTTTGTGTCGCGTGTTTGAAACGATTTAATCCGAAAACTAAATTACTATTCATTTGGTAAGCATTCAGGGCCGGCGTTGTCAAAGTTGAGTTCAAGCTAATTTGGCCACTCCTTTCTAAGCAACGTTTAATGTGAATGGGTCGGTATTAGTGTTTTACTCAGATGTTGAAATGAGATAACATTAAGTTTTACGATTGTTATTTCGAACGTAACCGTGTTTCTTGTGTGTTATCGCATATAAGCGGCGATAGGAGTTTCCTATTTCCTATAACTTTCAATGCATTCACCTAGTACGAACCAAAACAAAAAAGCACAGCTACTCTTATATACACTAACATATTTTTATCACACAACACAATGCAATAAACTCTTCATACATGTCAGTGTTTTCTTACACACTTTCGAGAGTATTCTATTCTTTTTACAAATTTTTAATGTAAAACAATTTGTCATTGTGTAATCGACATCAACAGTATGCTGAACAAGCCTTCGTGCAACCGACCTTTTCTAGTGCCGATTGTTGTCTTTAAAAGTCCTTGTCACTCGATTATACTGTGAAACTGTTGGGGTGGCGTCATTACCCCGTCTGGTGAAAATTAAACCGACGTTTGCCTTCAGACGGAGGCAATTTCTAACCAAACGGCAATTACAAGAAATACAAAGAATTCGTTTCTAATCCGGATAAACACAGGGCTAATAAAGTGTCGTTTAACAAAAACACACGTTTCGACTTGGGACGAAATTATAGAGCGTTTCAAAAGCAATTTCGTGTACTTACTTAGTTTATAAACTGCATTTTTTGTTTGTGTTTCGTAAGGGATATATCATTTGTGTAATTGTCACCAATTTGAGATGATATTTTATACAATTTTCTCGGAATTTCTTCATTAAGTGCCAGATGTCTTTCATAAGTGTCTATGTTGTTATTGTGAGATAAAATTTTAAAGAGTTTTTCTTACGGCTATATTGTCTGCTTAAAGGTAAAACCACCTAAGTGACATTTTCCTCAAAAATTCTCTAAATAGTGTACCTGTTGTAAGAAAAGCATCATCTTTCTGCAGGTAAAACTCTTATTAAGTTTATAGCTTTTTTGTTATTGAGTTTGACATGTAGAAAGATAGTGATTTTCTTACTATAGCTATAAAAATTAAAGACTTTTTGTTTAAAATATCACTTATGGGGTTTTACCTTTAAACAGATGATATGTAAGTGATTGTTTCTAGGTGAATATAACAGTACCTTCAGAGTGAACAGGTATCTTCTAGACGAACATGAGGCGTTCTCGTTCACTCTTTAACAATTTCAGTATCAAAGATTGTGCAAGTACTAGACCGGGTGTAATTTAGTAAAAAAAAAAAGTTTTTCGAATTGTCATTATAAGGGCTAGCGGGCGAATCTGTAGCTCCTTTTTAAGCAATCACACATCATTACAAAATATAATTTAGGTGTTTTAATGAAATAACATTTTTATTGGAAATATGGTGAGTACCTCCTGGTATTTGATCTTCGAAGAAACGTTCAATTGTGTTTTTAAGAGAATACAATTTCTGAGTACCTTATTTATTTCATGTTTAAATACATTTTAAGTATTTAAGTAGGATGTTATGGGATGTTATCGTTTTTTGAATGACATGAATGCACTCTATATTTATGTAAGCACGTGTAAACGCTATTCGCTCTATATGTATCTATACTTGAATTTTGAGTTCAAACTAAATAAATATTTTAGTAACATTTTTTATTGAATGCAATGTAAATAACTAATTAAAATTGAGTTCTAAGATAAATAAATCAGTAATAAATCATTTAATTATGCACCAATTAAGTGACTGGAATGTTTTTTGTTGAATGAACTAGTAAAATGTTCAACATAAATGCCAAAATATAATAGATGTTTCAAGGTTAACGAATTCATAGTTATAAAGCAATCACATTAATAAGAAATATTATGTTCATATTTGACATATGCAGATAGGTGACATAATTTATAACAAGAGCCGGTTGCGTTTGAAGTTTTGTAGCTTCAAGTAACTAAAATACCCTCGCCGAAGACTGTGGGAATTCTCAAAGTAATTGTCAACAGTGAACAATAAAAAAAAGAGTAAGAAGCAAAAATCGGCCAAAGTTGCGGAGTTAAACCGAGGTTACTGACCGCCCAACTGAGCCTTGCTACACCTACATGTCTTATTGTCACTTTCAAAGAGTATATTTTCAAGTAACCTGTATGAGAAGCGTATGATTGCAGACATATCTTGACCCACGCCTACTGGACAAGCGGACATAATTCACAATATTTTTCATAAGAAACATTATGAAGTGTGCCTTACTGCTTTCATTTACGGTCTGGTTCTTATGTTGTTTTGAAAAAATGTGCATTTTGCGATGATCATTTTTTGTTTTTTTTTATTCGCTGGCTCGCTGTCGTGACATGCCATATTGTTCAGGGTATGATACATGAAGTAAGCGAACCGGTTAGTGTACAGTGAAGCGCAAAAGGCATTGCTATTTGCGTAATGACCGCCTTAAACATGCGCTTAACTTTTTCTTATGGGAAATCTTTGCCGATGATAAACAATCCGATGTATCGTACTTACTTGCCGCGTAAAAAGGAAACTTTTTGTCTTACCTATACAGCGTTTTGTTTATTATTGTTATATGCAAAATAACTTAAGTCTTGAGCAAAAACGTCAACTTACATTCTTTTACATCATTTTATTTAATACGCTCTCCGCATTCAATTAATCTGTAAAAAATACCACTAAAAACCAGTTTTCTCAGCAATACTTTTATGAAAATAACATCATGTAAATAACATATTAGACCATTTATAAACATTTACTTCGAATCACTTTCGTACACATAAGTCCTAAGTTTCATAGTTTGCAACCTGCCTACAATTAGTCATAACTAGACACTATACACTTACTTCGCAATTTATACTTTAATTATCCTTTGCCGTTAATAGTCCTCTGAAAAAGACTTTTCGTTTTATTAAGAGTGTTTTGGATAGCCAACGTCCAGCCGGCTAACCGTGTGAGGCGAAAGATAACGCGGTAAAATTGTATTTCTGTCTTTCCTGCCCCTAAATTTCTTCCAATAAACTGTCAAACGTCTGATTATGTTTAAATATGTATTATATGGTCATGACCATGGGACCTGTAAAGGACCCGAAACGTCGGTTTGTTTGAAAAAACAAATATACGCGATTTAAATCCGGAAAAATAGTTTCATTTTCTATGTGTAACAATCGCGAAAACCTAAGAACTCGATATGTATTAAACTTCTTAAACTAAAATTCAATGTCAATACCACCGAAATGCCTACGACATCTAGACGTCTACTCGTAATAATGACGTGCGTTTATATCCCTAAGAGACCTGAATTACGATGAAGGTGAAGCTTAAAAGTCGGTAACAAAATTAAAAACTTATTTATTACATAGGTAACAAAAACAATAATCTAGAGGTTCCCAAACTATTTTGTCTGGTAGACCACGTGTCAATTTGTCAGTTTGACAGCTAACACAGTGCTAGTGAGAAACTTGAAATACAAAAATGATATTAAGATTTATCTTCCCGAATCGTGTTTATTGTGAAATGTTTAAGAATTTCATAAATAAATTTATATAACAATAATAGTAAACGCGCACACTCATATTATATACGTCTATTAGAAGAACGTATTATGTATTTACATAGGTACTAATCTGTGCAATATGGATTATTCCACAGTCGTGGACCCTTAATAACATCTCATGCACCCCCTACCCCTATTTTTTCTCACAAACGTGAACCCCTGGGGATTTATCTCACTGACGTGGACCCCTTGTAAGTTGAAGTGGACCCCTACAGGTCCATACAGGTAGACTACTTTGGGAATCAATGTTCGAAACCAGTTTGATTGCTAACCAAATCGCAAATAACAAATTTTTAAACCAAAAAACTCTAACTTCGGGTTATCGCTTTATGACGTCAGCGTTTCAAACAGACTCCTAAGATGTTTTACAAAAATAACAAAAGTTGTTCGTGTAATGGATAATTACGAACCTGTAATTTTGAACTTTGTGTCAAGCTAATAAAGCCTTTGTAATCGCTATTGTTAGGTATATAATCATTTGTATATAAAGCTGCATGTCTATTGAATGGCAGATGTTCAAGAACATTAAATGGGTTCGTAGTAAATGAAATGATTAATAGATTGGATCTATATATAGTACACATATTATCAGGAAAATTTTCCTTGTAAAGCTTATTATTATATTAAAAAAATATGAGAATTCATATAACTTTTTATATAATAAATGAGCTTTATATACTGTAAACAATTTTATTGGCTTTCCCAGTTGGATATAAACTGCAATAAAAAATTCTCCAATTTATTTCTAACACGGGCATGGTGCCTTTGCTTCTGACTTTTCATAACATGTTTCATTGTAAATCGTCTTCCGTGGCCATTATCACGTGAATGATTATGTATAAATTTTGTTAATTTCTCTCCTGATGCCCCATTCTCGAAGCATGAAATCCGTAGTTACGGCCGTTTTCCCATAAAGGTGAGGTCACCTTTATGGGAAAACGGCCGTAACTA